CAACACTGTTTCCCTCCCCCAATTCCCCAATAAAATCTTAAAAAAAAAAGAAAGAAAATGCATTTAAGAAAAGAAAGCAATATCTTCACCCAGGTCCATGCAGGGCTTATTATAGGGTGATAGTTATTAAACAGAATTCTTATATGGAAAGATGAAGTTCAAAGAAGAATTCTGTCCGTTCTCCAAGGGAAGTTGTACCCTTGACTCCTAGTGTTATTTGATAGTCTATTTTCTCCTCTGTCTTCTGACACCTCTACCCGCCTCCTTATTTCTTGGAATCACCACCACTACCAAATCATCATCAAGTTCTGATCCAAAGTGGTCCACAGAGCTGACTGGACCAGACCAAAAGTGTCAAAATAGAAATAACAAGGAGAAAAATGTCTATCAGAATGGGGTATGGATTATATTTATATTGCACAAAATGCCTCCTAATTAATTCAATAAAGAATTGTGAATTGTCTAGGTGAGTTACTGTGGAACTCTGTATGAATTAGTTGATAGTATGAGATTCTAGCCAGGCATTGACAAAGCTAAGAAAAATCCATACGTATACTAAATAAACCTGGAAAGATATGTGTGACATAGCCTTAATTTTAAAAAATGTTATAGACCAATATGTAATGTACTTTTAGTTTTTTTGTTTGTTTTTAAAGAAACCTTGGGCTATATATACATCTGTTAAAAAACTATAGAAGATAATGGTTGGAAGGAGTCATAGTGTTCGCCCACACAAAGTTTGTGTCTAGTGAGGGAGATAAGATTTGTATGTAAATAGAATTATGGATACTACAGTGGATAGTGAAAGGCCTCTTAAGAGAGGATCAGATAAGGTGCCAAAAGAATCTAAAAAGGAATTAGATTAATTCTGAGAGCACATCAAGGAATGTTCATGGGGGAGATGGTGATTTAACTGGGCCTTAAAGATATATGTGAAGGTGTATAGAGTGGGTACATTCTGAATCTACTTAAAAAAAATCCTTTCTTCTATTTCAGTGTAGTTGATGTAGTTGAGTTTCACATCCACCAATGCTGCTTGTGGAAAATATACATGAATATATATATAATCTCCACATGTATATGGAAAGAAATGCATGTTCAGCACACATAGCAATTTATTAATAAATGCACTTTTTAAATAACATACAGAATCTTAGAGAAACTGCCACGAACTTCATCGTAGGATGTTTAGTAGCATCCTTGGCTTCTATCCACTAGATCTCAGTAGCATATCCCCCGGATGTGACAACTGCAAATGTGTCTAGATATTGCCAAATGTCTCTGGAGGGACAAAATAGCCCTTAGTTAAGAACCATTGGTTCTTAATTCTTATCTACCTGTAGTGACTTGGATTTTCTTTTTAGGTCCTTTCTTCAAGGGTTTATAATCTTATTGGGTCAAGAAAGCTTTTGAAAATCTGTTGAAAGCCTTTAACTCATTCATTCCTCAGAAAAACGCACATCCTTGCACTATGTTGAATACAATTTCAGGGGATTTATACTTGGGTTCTCCTGAGATGAGTTCTGTTTCTGGGAGCTCACAGAATTGTCGTGGTCTATATTTGCCATCCAAGTGTGTAACTGAAGGCTGGTGTCCAGGCGGTCCATATTTTGGAGCCATTTACTTCAGAATACTAATAATCAGGAGAGAATCCTCTCGTTCACTGATCTCGTCCTCCCTTCATCTTAACCTGCACTTGTCGGTTTTAGAAAGATTCATCCCAGCAGAAGACATAACACTGATGGTAGGTTAGATCTGACTGCCCTCTCTTCCTCCTGGTCTAGATTCCTGTCTCTTCCAGCTTATTCCCGCCTTGATTGTCCAGATAAATGAGCAGAAAGATAGAAAGAACCAAAGGATCAGTCAGGTAAGAAAAGGGGCCACCCGGACACTTGATTTTGATTGTGGAATATGAGAGAGAGAGAGA